CCGAGGCGACGGCGAGGCGAGACCGGGCTCCACCTCCCGGGGTCGGCCGGGGCCGGCGGACGAAGGGCCGCGGCGAGCCGCCCGGGACTAGCTCGCTGTAGTGGGCCGCGGAGGTGCACGGCGTGGCGCGTCCCGGGCGCTGCACTCATACACTGACCGCGCACGCGCAGCTCCGCCGCGGGTGGTGGCCGAGGCGTGTGGGGAGGGGCCGCGGGAGCCAATGGGGGCCGGGGTTTTCAAAGGGCACCGGAGCCCCAGCCAATGATGGCGTGTGGGCGGGACTAGGTTTCCTAGGCCCCGCCCCGGTCGCGCTGGGAAGGTCACCCGCGACGCGCGCGTCTTCCTGCGCCGAGCCGGGAGCTGGCGACTGGACTGCGGGATCCGCGAGCGCGGGGTCCGGGTGGCGCCCAGGTCGCCGTGCGTGTGCACGTGCGTCTTCGGCAGTCCGTACACCCCCGCCCGCAGGTTGCCCCGCGCGCGGGGTCGGCGCAGTGCCCTCCGGGATGCCTCTCGGCGGCAGTGCCCCGGGGCCAGGACGCGGTTCTGATTCGGGCTTGAGGTCAAGCCCCCATCTCGAGGCCCATCTTGACCACGCTTCTCGCTCCTGAAACCTTTGCCTGTTGTCCCTGTGCCTGGAGCGCCCTCCCCTGCTCTCACCCACCCGCTGCCCTCCAAGCAGCTGACGACCACCTCTGTCAAGGAGCCCACCTTGACCAATGCAGTCGTGGCCTGAGCCAGCCAAGGTCCATACGGCCCTGGTCTGGACCTCACCCTGCCCTTCGCCTCCTGTACTACACAGACCTGTGTGGCATGATCCAAGAGCAGGACTTGCCAGCCAAGGTCACGGGCCTGAGGCTCTCAGGAATCCAGGGTGTGAGCGGTCCTCTGCCAGCCACAGTGGCTAAGCCCCGGATGTCCACTGCCTGCCACACCGGTCCCAGAGAGGGTTGAGGGTTGGGAGAGGCGAGAAGCCAAAGTACTGGTCCTTCTGGCGTGGCAGGTACTCCTAGCCACCCCTGGGGTGACCCCCCAAGCAGGCCCAGGCTGGCCCAACCTCCCCCAAGTCACTTCACTTCTCTGCCGTTACCGCTGTCTTAGGCCAGAAAGTGGACCCCACTGCTGGTGCAGCCTTGGGCTCTTGCCTTCCTAGGGCTGCCCTCCTGCTAGAGGCCCGCTGGGGTGGGGCGGGGCTGGCCAGCCAACCGTGGGCCCCACGCCAGTCCCATGGGGTCAGATGCCAGAGCCCACCCCTCCGGCAGAGTCCTGTGAGGGAGGATTGTCCACGTGTGAGTCCTCCCAGAGGACCAGCAGAGAGGCCCACGAGCCTGCTCCCCGGAGAGTGGGTACCCCCAGGTCGGGCTACATGAGTTCTGGGACCTACAGACAGTCCTGGGGCTGGGGAGGGCTATGGGTCTAGTTGGTGACCCCACCGAGATGTCCTGAGGGCAGGTCCCACTCAGCCATGAGGGACAAGGTCCCGGCAGCCTCCCCAGTGGGCCCCCCGCCCAGCATGTGAACATCCAAGCCAGTCCTCACAGATGTCTGGCCTGTGTATCCATCAAGTCCCTGGCATTGGGAGTCAGCCAGTACCTACTGAACCCCACCAGCTTGACGAGGACCTCAAGTCTACCCAAGGACTCCTGGAAGCAGCGGCACCTCTGCTGCCCCTCGGGCCGGGCCCCTGTGGAGGCCTCCGGGAGGAACTGGCCTGGTTTGGGAGTGGGGGACAGAGCTGGACACAGCCTCTCAAGTGCCTGGGGGTTTTCCTAGAGCCTTCATCCCTCCCTGACACTCACATGCGTGCATGTTGTACACAAGCTGTTGTACAAGCCTCTGCGTGTGCGTGTACGCATGCATCCTACACCGACTGTGAGTTCTGTGAGGGGTTAGAACGGACCCCCTACCCCACTGGGCTGCCGTGGGGGCCTCCTTCAGGTCCTGGTGTCGCTGCTGGTGCAGGCACCCAGGGCCCTGTGTCCACCCTGGCATGGGAGGGCCCTGGTGCCCCAGATGACCCTGCCCATGGTGCTGCCCACCTCGCCTACTCCCACCCTGCAGATAGGCACCACCCACCCCCATTTTTCTGCTTGGCAAACCCAGGCTCTGAGGGGTCTGCCAGCTGTGGAGCCCCTACCTCCTTGCATGGGAGGCGAGGCCACATCTGAGACCCAGGGGCCTTTCGCTCGTTTGCCCGGGCCTGGCCCTTGGTCAGCGACCCCGGACCGCCCCTTCCCTGCAGGTCTGAACCCCTACACACACCCAGCCACGGCCCTGGCCGCACAGGATGCCAGTAGCTTGTTTTTTCCTGGTTCCTGGAAGGCCCATCCAGTGGGCTTTAAAAATAGCCCTGGGCCTCACGGGCCGGCCCAGTCAGCGACTCTGAGGCAGCGGAGATGGGGCCCTCCTGTGGATGGCGGAGAGGGCCACCAGGAGGAGGGCTCCGCTGGGCTTGAGGTGCCGAGTCCTCATGCTGCTGCTGCACAGCCCGAAGAGGGCCAGGCTCTGTCCCGTGTCCTCCCAGCGCCCCTCAGGCCAGTGTGGGGCGGCGCCACGTCAAGTCCCTGCTGTCTCAAGGCAGATGTTTCCCAAGGGAGGTGAGCACGCCGGCGCCTGCCCCTCGCCCCAGGAACAGCCAGCCCCATCAGGTCGACCCGTCCCACTGGCCAAAGGAGCCACACTGTTGCCATGGTGATGAGCTCGGCTGGCCTCCCCGGATTAAGGTGGAAGAGGAGGGTGGAACAGAAGGTGGCCTGGGCCACTCACACTCCGTGTCCCTTAGTGACACATGCGTACGAGCACACGTGTACAGACACAGACCATCACACACATATACACACAGGTACACACACCCCGCACAGACAGATAATCACACAAACACACCCACTGAGTTAGGACGTCACAGCTGGGGAGCGGGGGAGCAGTACATGCTCAGGGGACCCTGCTCCCCACGTCCCCAGGACCCTGGCTTCCTAGGGCTCCCCTCAGGCCTGTCCTGGGCCCTCTTCCCCCTGTCCACTCAGTTCCCATGCCGATAACCAAGGCCCCGCAACCAGCCTTGCTGTCCAGCTGTCCCTGCGCATCCCACAGGCTTGCTCTCCCTGCCCTTTAATTCGGGCCGTGGCTGGGGACCCCCCGCCTGCCCCGTCCATCGCCAAGTTTCTCTCCCACCTCCCGAACCTCCCTGGCCAGCCCGCCTGTCCTCCGGCACCGCTGGTTGCCCCACGAGTCCTCCCAGCTCCCAGCGATGGCATGCCACGGTCCTGCCTCCAGTCCTCCAGGGCCACCCTGGGCCATCCGGGTCACAGCCGTCACCCTGAGCCCCCTCTGCCCTCCACTGCCATTGCAGGAAGCCCCAGCCCCCAGGGCCTGACTCATCCTGGCTGGACAGCTCCCAGACAGAGCCCGGCCTACCCCTGCGAAGACCCCACGCTGGGCTCTGGGAGCTCCGAGGAGGTGGGGTAAGGAGCACCCTGCCCTCTGGCCTTCGCTTGCAGCCTCTCACCCACCAGGAGGGGAGCCAGCAGGGCCAGGCCGGATTTTGCAATGCTCCCCACAGGCCACCAAGCCAGGCCTGGGCTGGGGCGCAGGGAACCAGTGGGCGCCAGTGTGGTGCCGCTGTGAACTCTGACCTGGGAGGGGGCCGGGCTGCAGGGCGGTGGGCATGCCATCTGCACTGGACCAGCTCCCGGCCACTTTCCTGGGGCCTCACGCCTCGGCCCGGCCCCCTCCCTGCTCCTGCCCCCTGCGGCAACCTCTCTCGCCCTCCCTTGGGACCGACCCCTGGCTTAGCCTGAGGGCCCGAGCCGGGCCCCCTCTGCCACTGACCCGCGCCAGAACCATGGGCACGTCCCATCCGAGCCTGTCCCTGCCCGGGTCTCCCGTCCAGGGGACTCCGGGCACCTCCGTGCAGGGCCGGGGGCGGGGGGCCTCCTCTGAAATGTCTGAGGTGCTTCCCCCAGCTCACAGCAGGAGCCTCATGTGTGCAGCTACGGGGGCTCTGGCTGCTGTGGGCACAGGCTCCGGATTACATCCGTAGTGTCCAGGGGACTCCTGGGACGGGCAGGATGAGGGCGGGGCTCAGCGGCCGCAAGGTGGAGGGGCCGGCTTGGGGGCGGCCTTCAGCCGGCACCTGCTGCGCAGCTGCCTGAGCTCGCCATGCGCGGTGCCCGCTCCACCCCTCAGCGGACACTGCTTTCAGGCCACCTCACGGGGAGGGCGGTGGCCTGCAGGGCGTCGGGCGGCCTCGGGGAAAGGACAAGTCTGTGGGCGGCAACTGGCCCAGCCAGGCAGACAGGAGCGTGTCACTGCCAGGGCATGAACCCTGAGCGGGTCGGGCTAGGTGAGGAGCGGGCAGGACAAAGGCGGCTTCAGGTCCTGCTGCCTCCGGCCCCAGCAGCACCCACGCAACTCAGAGCCCGCAAGCCCCTGCGGGTCCCCTCCCTCGACAGTTCAGAAACAGAGAGCTGGGGAGCGGGAGAGAATCCCCACTGGGCATGGGGGGGTGTTAGCAGTGCCAAGGAAAGTCCAATGCGCCCCCAAGTTCTGCTGGTGGGGAAAGGCTGAGACCGCGCTGGCCGAGGCCTGTGTGCAGGCGCCCGCCCCCCGGAGGCACGTGCCGGTGCACGAGCCTCCCCGGACCCTGCCAAGCAGCCTCCCTCCTCTCCGTGTCTGCTGGGCGTGGACCTAGGCCTGTGGGCAGGGGCCAGGTGCTGGTGGGCACATCCCGGACGTGGAGCCCAGCCGCGTAGGGGGCGAGTCTGGGGACAAGCCCCAGGAGGCCGAGCTCCCCTGCAGCCACGTTGCCCTCCAGACTCTGCTCACCATGGCTTCTGCCCAAAGGCCCCAAGCCTGGCTCCTGGGAATGTCCCCAGTGCCAATCTAGACATTGGGGTCTCAGGATGCAGCAGGGCAGAGCAAGGCGGGGGCCTCCAGGGGCCCAGGCCCTGGGAGCAGTGTCCACGGGGCTGTCAGTCTTCAGAGGCCGCAGGCCAGGCCTGCAGGGAAGGAGGCAGGAGGCTGGCGGCCACGTGGGGGAGGGGCTCCCGCTGCTGGTGTCAAGCCCAGCCCCACCCGGGTCTGGGCTCCAGCAAGGACTGGGAGAATCCAGGGGCCCACTGAAGCTCAGATTAGGGGCCCTGTTCCCCCTCTGCCTGGGGTTCCTGCAGACAGCTCGACCTGGGGCACGAGGTGGCCTGGGCAGAGCATGGGTTCAGGAGTGGCTGGGCTAGTTTCCAACCTCAAGGCCACTTCCCTATTCCGAGGAAGTGATCGTGAGGGAGGGGGGCCCAGGGGAGCGGGGAGTGGGGAATGGAGGCCCAGGGCGTCCCAGCCCAGAAACCCAGTGGGCCTCTGAGAAGGGGATGCCCCCAACTCTTGCCCAGGTCATCCCTGAGCACCCCTTGCTCACTCCAGGCGGCCCCCCAGCAGGGCCGTGATGCCTCACGAGGGGCTTCCTGCAGGAGGAGGCAGTGGCATGAGTGCTCCAGGTGCCAGGAGCTGGGACAGTCCCAAGTCTGGCCTGGAGCTCCCCAGTGGCTGGTTAACCTGGGTCAGGGCCCAGGCGGCAGCACACCTGTGTGCTCACATGTGAACAGGTGAGCACTCAGGTGTATGCACAGGCAGCCAGCTGGCCCGTGAGGACTGGGCAGGTGGCGAGCAGACACACGCAGCAGGCACCCTGGCAGGCTCACTCATGCTGCCATCCTCCCTCAGGTACGCTCCCTGGTACCTCCTCACCTCTCCTCCCAGCCAGGTGAGGCCTTGGTCGGGCAGGGAAGCCTACGGGCTGAGCGCTGGCCCCCTCCTCCCGCAGCAGCCTGCACCTGGGTGTGGCCAAGGGCTGGAGACACAGGGCCTGGCCCACCTGTCCACTGTCCAGATGGGGAGCCGAGGCCCCGCCCCACCCACATCCCATGTTGGGCAATTGGGGACAGGCACAAGTGCCCATGCCAGGACCCAGGACCAGGTCCTCTAGGGGCAGTGGGGCCAAACTCCCCACGAGGAGCTGGGCAAAGAGGTAAGGCTAGGCGTGGAGGCGGGCACGGCCGTCACGGGGCGGGAACTAAGGGTGGGTGACCAGGGCAGGGGACAGCAGTGGAGGGTATGGGCCAAGCTGGGGCAGAGCCACACTCCAGGGGGAGGTGCATTCCTGGCCTGCCACAGGCTGGACTGGGGGTGGCGGTGCTGGGGCTGCGGTTCCAGCCCCCGAGTCACCACAGGGGAATGGAAGAGGGGACAGCTCTGCCTTGTGCTCTCCAGCTAGGCTCCCCCATTGCTAAGAGATCCCCACCCCAGCCACCAGCCTGGCCCGCCCAGACCCCCTGCTGCTTCCCAGTGCTCCTCTCCCCAGCTCTGCCCCCTGCATTGACCTCTGGGGAGTGTTGGGGTTCCACGGGCCCAGGCCCTGGATGCAGAACACAGGTCTCCTTCCTGTCACCTGGGCCCTGGTTCCTAGGAGCAGTTTCCTCCAGCATGGCGTCTGAGAGGGGCCCCCTGGCCTGGGTGTGGGTGCACAGTTGCCGGGGCAGCCGCCTCTCTTCCTGGGAGCCAGGTGGGCTCAGGATGGGTGCCCAGGGTGAGCTGCGGTGAGACGTTGGGCTCAGACACTCGTCTCTCCTGAGTCAACAACCAGGACATTTGCGGGGCTGGGCCCGGGGCCTCCCCCGCTGAGCCGGCTCCTGTCTGTGAGACCGGGCCTCGGTCAGCCCCCCGCACGGCTGGTGGGGATCCGACAGGTAGGGCGGGTCAGCCTGCAGATGCCCCCACCTCTGGCTGTGTCGGGGGGCCTCCAGCCTCTGCTCTTCCCATGCCCGTGTACCTGTGCCGGCAGGCTCCCTACTGGCCCCCAGGAGTCCAGG